ACCAGGGTCCCCACGGAGCCCAACGCCTTCGACACCCCCTGGGTGGTGCGCCTCTTCGCCCTTGACTTCGCCGCCATGCGCGTGCCCGGTCACCCGCGCTTCCAGCAGGCGTGGGAGTTCTCCCACCCGGTCTCCGAGGCCACGCTCAAGCAGATCGAGACGAGACGCGCCGGCGGCGTCATGGGCGGCGGAGGCGGTAGCATGGCGGGTGCTGTTGGCGCCAACGACCACAACTCGCGCTTCTGCCATCTCACGTTCGTATGTCCCACGAGGGGTGTCATCCACGGTTTGGCCGGGTACTTTGAGTCTGTCCTCTACGCGCCCCAGACCGGCGACAGAGAAAAGGTGGAAATCAGCACGCATCCCGAGCTGATTGACCGCAAAAGCAAGGACATGATCTCGTGGTTCCCCATCTTCTTCCCCATCAAGGTAAGCAAAAGACACAATTTCCTCATGTAATTTGGACAAATTTCACTGACATTCACAGCAACCGATCTACTATCCTGCCGACACTGAATTGGAGGTCACGATGTGGCGCCAGACGGATGATTCGCGGGTGTGGTACGAGTGGCTCATCGAGGCGTACACGTGGGTGAGCGAGACACAGCGCATCAAGGTAGCGTCGTCGGATCTCTGCAGTAGTCGCAAGGTTGCTTGTCTTATGTAAGTATTTGCGGAAAAAAAAAGTGGTGGTACCAAAAGGGGGCACTGGAGGCGCCGACAATGGTGTACGCCCCTTTTCTTCTTCTTCTATAGTTGCTGCGAGAGGGGTAGAGAGATGGTTCTTTCTTGCGCAGCGCGACCTGGCGGTATTCAACCTGACTTTGAGGGACACTGCAAACTCCGTTCCATCGCCGGCCTTTTTGTGGATTCGTTTTGATTGCTCCAAGCTCATCGTGAAAATCAATATCCCTTTCCGCCCGCCCTTTCTCTAAGTCAAGACCAAAGTAAGTGAGGGCGTTTTCCCAGGTTATGTCGATGTTTGTTCCGCTCGTGGTCTTTCCGCTCGTTGTGGGAGGGATGCTCTTCCCGCTCAACCGTCCATCTTGACGTCGCCGTTCTCGCCTTGTTTCGCGCCGCGGATCCAGAGAACGTTGTTACACCTGTCAGTGCGTTCAGTCAGTCAACACAACTTCGTCTCGAGGGGGTTATCGTATGTGACATGGGAAGAGAGGGGAAGTGGTTCGTGTGCTGTCGAATGATGGTCGCGTACCGAATCAAAACCTGGCCCAAAGCTCCCGTCATCTTCTGGTCAATGTACTCCTCGGCGCCGCTGAGCTGGACGTTCATGTAGCTGTCGATGCTGACCAACTTTCCCTTGTATTCGGTCTCGCCCCACTTGAGTCTGATGACGACGTCCTGGTTGACACTGCGCAGGTATGAAATGTTAGCACGCTGGACAAGCTTTGTCTATCGAGGAAAGAGGATGCCTGGCGATCGTGAAGGGCGTTGGCATTGGAGAGGCGCGTTTCGCAGACGTACAGGTCTTGCAGCATAGGCCGCGGGTTAATGGGCACGAACTGCGAGGCAAAAAAGGTTTGTTAGCTTATTGCATCCTATAGAATGTCGAAATTGAAGGGGAAAGGGGGGTTGCATACGCTCATGGTGGGCGATTCGAGGGTGAGATACAGCCCATGTAATGTGTAGATGGGGGGAAGTTTGCGCGGGAGTCGAGGCTACGATGCGTGAGGCTCGTCCTTCTCTCAATTGGGGCCAATTTTTAGGCGGGCACAGTGCACCTGAGGTTGCTACAGTGGTGTGAGGCTGTCGGAAAATCATCGGGTCCACTGTAAGGGACCGCCTGGCGATCAACCCAAAAAATCCGGGGGATTTTGGAGCACTGGCCTCATTTTGTTTCTCCTGTCGCAAGCTGTTTATTGACCAGAGTCTGATGGTCTCATTCGAGTCTTCGTGGCACATATCGAACCTAACACATCGGGCCATCTGAGATCAACCTTTGATCCTCACATGATCGAACGAACACCGTGTGAACGCCTACCTTTAGGCGTATGCTCTGGGTTTATGTGGCGATATCCTACCTCATAGCTTGACTGACGTCTGCTGCATCTGTATGTGGACATCAAGTCAAAGCCAAAAATGATGATAGATCACGAGGTAAGTTGAGGTTTCGGATAAGGGTCGGCAAGATGAGATTTATCAGGGTGTATTCGAGACCTGAGCAACCGACGTCTTGGGACCATAATGCTCTCACTAAATGGTATCATGTGAGAAATTATTGTTGGCGCGTGGAAGCTTCTTCTTTCCATGGGCAGCTAAATTCACCGATGTTGAGTACATCGATCTTACCTGCGTAATGTGATCTGTGCCTTCACCTGAGATGCATAAAGCAAATTGGCTTGATGAACTGAAATCGCGATGAAGGTTGTGAAAAGAAGGATGCTACAGTGTATATGTCTCGAAAAGAAAAACACCACCCTGGTCAGATGAGAAAATCTCAATCAAATCGCTGCGGGAAACTTGGTTGGTGAATGCTTTGAAGCTCATGAAGTCCAATCCAGCATCATCTCGTGTCCTGATGCTGCTATGAAAATTTCGCGGGTACAGCCGAACCTCAGTCAACCTCCGCCTTACAACAACCACACCCCCAGTGACCACACAAAATGGCCACACAAACATTTGAGACCAACGGCGTCCGAATCGCCGTTGAGGGATGCGTAAGCCTTTGCAATGAACACATCTTACACGCAAATGTTCTCCCACTGACAAATCCTGACAGGGCCACGGCACCCTCAACGCCATCTACGCTGCCGTCGAGGTCTCCTGCACGGCCCGTGGCTGGGACGGCGTTGATCTCCTCATCATCGGCGGCGACTTCCAAGCCGCCCGCAATGCCGCCGACCTGACGGTCATGTCCGTCCCCGCAAAGTACCGCGAGCTCGGCGATTTCTGGGAGTACTACGCCGGCCATCGCACCGCGCCGTACCTGACCGTCTTCGCGGGCGGCAACCACGAGGCCGCCAGCCACATGTGGGAGCTCTTCTACGGCGGCTGGGCCGCGCCCAACATCTACTACCTCGGCGCCGCCAACGTCCTTCGCCTGGGCCCGCTGCGCATCGCGGGCATGAGCGGCATCTGGAAGGGCTTCGACTATCGCAAGGGCCACCACGAGAGGCTGCCCATGGGCCCGGACGAGATCAAGAGCTTCTATCACGTCAGGGAGGTGGACGTGAGAAAGTTGCTACTGTTGAGGGAGCAGGTTGACGTCGGTATCAGCCACGACTGGCCACGGGCGATCGAGAGGTGGGGTGATGAGAAGGCGCTGTGGAGGATGAAGCCGGATTTCGAGAGGGAGTCCATGGATGGCACACTGGGCAACGTTGCGGCGGAGTATGTCTGCGATCGGCTCAGGCCACCGTATTGGTTCTCCGCGCATTTGCACTGTAAGTTTGCGGCGTTGAAGATTTACAAGGATGAGGAGGCGACTACGAAGGAGGCAGCAGAGGGAGCTACGGCCTCAGCTACGGCCCCGGCTGCGACACACGAGCCGGTTCAAGCACCGGATAATCCAGACGAGATCGACCTGGACGGAGACGAAGAGATCACGGACGCACCCGCCGTTTCGGCACCAGCACAAACAAATCCCAACGAAATCGATCTCGACGACGATGACGATGACGAGCAGCCTACCGCACCTACACAAACACAGCCCAGCAAAGAAGTAACAGAAAAAGCTCCCAACACCAAAACCTCCGTCCCCGAAGACATCCGCGCCCAACTCCCCGCCTCCTTCGCCAAGCCCAAGCCCCAGCCGAAAAAGACACCGGGCCAGCCCGTCCCGCCAGCAATCACGAACAAGCAGGTCAACTTCCTCGCCCTCGACAAGTGTCTCCCGCGCCGCCACTTCCTTCAGCTCCTTGAAGCCCGCCCCCACAACATCCTGTCCGCCGACCAACCGGCCCCGACGCGGCCCTTCCGCCTGCAGTACGACCCGGAATGGCTCGCCATCACGCGCGTCTTCCACCCCACGCTCGTCATCGGCGACGAAGCGGCCCACCACCAGCCGAGCCCAGACCTGGGCGAGGAACACTACGCGCCGCTCATCGACGCCGAGCGCCGCTGGGTCGAGGAGAACATCGTTCAGAAGGACAAGCTTGACGTCCCGCTCAACTTTGAGATCACGGCGCCGCCGCATGTAGAGGGCGAGCCCGAGTCTGTGCCGCACCAGCCGTTTGAGTATACCAACCCGCAGACGTCGGCCTACTGCGCGCTCTTGGAGGTTGGGAACCTGTGGGATGCTAGCGAGGAGGAGAGGATGGAGAGGAAGGCGAGGGGTCCGCCGGCTGCGGAGTTCAGGGGACACCGTGGCGGTGGTGGTCGGGGCTTTCATAGAGGTGGTGGTGGTGGTGGGCGCGGCGGTGGACGTGGTGGTAGGGGCCGGGGTAGGGGCCGTGGCAGAGGCAGAGGTTGGAACTGAGTTTTGTTGAAAGTGGATGCAAACATTTCATGGCGAATTCTATGGTCAAAAAAGTCACAGTTGCGAGCTTTTGCCTAGAGCTGTCTAAAGGTTGCAAGGTATCTCTGAGGACAATCCAACAGAAGGCTTCACACCATATGAGGAGCATTCATTCAAGACTAAAGAATTTGGTTTATTCAGCTATAAGTGTGAATGTGTGTGTTTACCATGGTTGATCTGTATCCCAACAGAAAAAGCGTAGATCTCAATGGTAGAAAGTTGAGTCGAGCAGAGTGAGTGGAATATAGTTCTTCTTCCATCTTTAATAGACGTTCAACCCACGGAAGAGTGAGGGGAGGAACGCATATGCTAAGATGGGGGTTGGTTTTTTCACATGTGGGGTGACAGCGTGGGTCACCATCGAGAGATCATGGCAAAGAACAGAACACATGCCTTTCTTGGCATGGGATTTCGTCATAGTGTCATAGCAATGGTATCGTGTCTGGTAGTACCACCCTGAACGCTCAACGCCCCAAACTCCGTCATGAACAATGAAGCCAAAATGCAAATGGTCATTAAGCGTCATTCAGACAGTGCCGGTATTTTGCTCTGTGAGAAACGCGTCAGAACGGCTGGGTGGTTCCCGTGAGACAGATGCCGTCGCTCTGGGATCAGAGGAGGTTGGGGATGTCTTACTGTCCAGACCCAGGAAGTCGGCTGCGACCAGCAGTTCCAGGCACAGCTCGACAGGAATGTCCATGTCAGGAACGTCCTCCCGCTCGCGGTAGCGGTACCAGTATTGGAAATACTCGCAGACTTTCTCAAGCACAACGCCACTGCCGAGAGAGAAGACGGTCAGACGTTTCCAGAACTTTTTGGACAAAAGAGAAACGAAAAGGAATGAGGATTAGCCTTGTGAAGTGGCTGGGAAACAAGTAGTGTGAGGAAAAAGAAAGAATGTTGCTTGTTTCAGATCAAGTGTAGTTGGGCAATCAAGCAGACCAGCCGTTAGAGCGGTGGTCTGTCAGTGAAACTCATCGATAAAATCGGAGTTCATCATGGCAACAGCCGTAGAGAACGAAAGGTGGCAGTGAGAGCGCTGGGTTGTGCTGGCTTACCTGATCTCTTCAAACACGCAGCGACCCAGAGCAGCCTCACGGAAGTTGTTGCGCGTGTCCAACATGCCTTTGATGGCAGGGCTGATCATGGCGGCGTCCCGCAAGACGACGAACTCGTAGCCATCACTCGAGACCAGAGTCACGTACTTGCTGTCGGTTGTGCCGTTGGGATCCATGATTGCGGACGTGTGAGATATGCTGCGTGTTCCGTCTTCTGAGGGCTGAGCAGATAGACAGACTGCTGCAAGTTGGAATGGTGGCTTCCGTGTGTCGGAGTCTCCGTGTCTCTGATTGTTTCGCAAGTCACAGCGGTGATGCTCGTGGCGAAATATGAGCCTTCGATGAAGGTCGACGACGCGTTCGTTGAAGACGGAAGTGAAAGACTGAAAAATTCACGTCGCGATTTTGAGGGAGGCGGTGGTGGGGTTGGAGCTTGGGCCACCTCTCTCTCGTCCCGTAGTCCTGCCGGTGAAGGAAAGAGCACCGGAAAAACTCTGACGGGAGCTGTCCGCTTTCAGACTGCAGGGGGGACCTTCCTTGGCCAGGCCACAGCCAGGGGTTCGATTGATCCGCCTTAGCGCACTCTCGTCAGCTCCACTTTTGCGTTGTCGTTGTGGCTCCTCTGGCGCCTGCCGTCATCACCCCGGCAAGAAGTGGCTGGTTGCCCCGTCGACTTGTTTACAATTGCCCTCCTTGCTCCCGCTCCTTCTCCTCAAGAACACAGCACAACCCGCCCATCCACCTCGCACACAAACCCACCCCCATACAATACACCATCCCAAGCCAGACCAAGCACCTTTCCAACATTCCTCAACTTCAAAACGCCGCAACGTGCCAACGTCTCTTCCCCGTATTGCATGCCTCGCACTTAACCATATCTCAACGGCATTCGACTGAACACGGCAAGTAGCTGAACACGAAGCGAGGAGGCTCATTTGAGGAGAAGCGGCGATATCAGTATCGGCAGTATTCCTCCATCGCAACAAGAAACAAGCAGCATACACACACAACCCGGGAAACATCGCATAAAAGCACAAACCACTCAAGTCTCCCCAACAACCCCCCCTTCCACCCCCAGACGAGCGCACGCACCGGCCCCCGGTATCTATCTTACCCATCATCACATCAACCCATCTCGCAAACACGCACGAGGGGCCACGCTGCGAATCGACCTCCCTCGTCATCGCATCACAGCACCTCAAACACAGCTCGAGCCTGCCGCATTATGGCGTCCTCATACCAATACCGCAACTCATACCACAACTCGTCTCAGAACATTAGCGAAAAGTACGACGACGGCCGCCCGGCCACTTCCCGCCGCAACACGCGCCTGAGGAGTAGCGACGGCACCGTCAGCACCACAATGAGCTCTTCAACAGGCCGCGAGAGCGCCGCAACCCACGTCACCGAAGGTCCTGCCTATTCCAAGAAGATTGTCGTCGTCGGCGACGGCGGCTGCGGCAAGACATGTCTCCTCATCAGTTACAGCCAAGGCTACTTTCCAGAGGTAAGCTTCCAAGCAGAAAAAATGACCAACTCCTTTCGAGCGCAACATTTTCGTCATTTGCGTGTTGCTGGGGAGCGAAATGAGCCAAAACAATGCTGACTCTGGCGACAACAGAAATACGTCCCCACTGTGTTCGAGAACTACATCACCTACCCAACGCACCCACCGTCTGGCAAGACGGTGGAATTGGCGCTATGGGACACGGCCGGCCAGGAGGAATACGACCGACTGCGACCGCTCTCTTACCCCGAGACCGACTTGATCTTTGTGTGTTTTGCGATTGACTGCCCAAACTCGCTTGAGAACGTCATGGACAAGGTAATTTAACCACCGCCCCTCAGATAACATGCCCCCTCCTTTTTTGGGGCAACGCCATTTGACACTAATGCTAATTTCTTCTCCTACCAGTGGTATCCCGAAGTCCTCCACTTCTGCCCCTACACTCCTCTGGTCCTCGTGGGCCTCAAGTCCGATCTCCGCTTCAAGAAAACGTGCATCGACATGCTCAAGACACAGGGCCTCACGCCCGTGACCCAGGAGCAAGGCCGCGCTGTTGCTCGCAAGATGGGCGCCCAGTACGTAGAGTGTAGCAGCAAGGAGATGACTGGCGTGGACGAGATTTTTGAACAGGCCATCCTGACGGTCGTCGCCAATGATCGGAAAAATCAGGAAGCCCAAGCTGCCGCCTCCCCGTCAACACCCAGTGGTCCGCCTGGAAGCAGCGCAGGTTTCCCTGGCGTCGCTCTTAAGAAGAAGAAGAAGAGGAATTGCAAGATCCTGTGAGATTCCCACTGAGGACCTCAGGGTTGTAAGGAAGAGGCATTGGACACCGGCGGAGGGCGTAATGAATGACTTTTTGTTTTATCTGCATGATCTCGTCACGACCTGCTACTATTACGATCTGGAGAAAGCATGCGCCACCATTAGCGAAGGGGGGCGTCTCCTGCTCTAGGGCTGGATGAACTCTAGACCGGAGACGAAGTTTTCCCTCCACCAGGGATGTTGAGAGAAATTTTCTTCTTGTTGTTTGATGAAGAAGAACGAATGGTATATAAGTGGGAAACGAAACAAAGGGAGTGGGAGGGAAAGTGAGTGGTTTTCTCATCCGAGTCTCTAGACTCATCCATACCCTTTATTTTTTACGCCAAACAAACACACACACACACACACAAACGGAGCGGGTACAGGGGAGACTTTGATCAGTTTTTTTCTGTAACCATCAGGTAACCTCTTGGACCTTGAGGGGTAATTTTTCTTATTTTCTTATTTTCCTTTCTCTTTTTCCTCTCCTGTAGCAGCATGGGGTTTTCTGTCTTGATAGGGCATTCCTGAGGGATAGGAAACATGAAATGTTAAAAGCATCAAATCAATTGTTACGTTGTGCCCTGAATGTGATGTATGAGATGAAGTGAGTGAATGGGTAAATCAATATCGCCAAATCTGGCGAAACTACCTACGAAAGCTGCACAGAATTTTGAGTTTCCCAGTGCCGTGGTTCAGTAGTTCTTGAGACTCAATTCAGCCAGCAAGATCAAGTTGAGATGCAGTCCAAACGAGGCATCGGAGAAAGGTCCGATGAGAGACTGATATGAATGGGATTCTCTAGAATGGGATGCACTTTTCATCAATTCGACTACCAAACCCAAAACCCCAAATCCTGAAAAAATTCCTCGAGTCAACCGGTTTGCAATAAATTGACACCAGCCGATCGTTACGCACCATGGACTCTTCTGCCCAGGCACGCCAGGTTCTGATCGCCGATCTCCCGCGAGAAGGTGATCTCGCGCATCACACCAACGACGGGCGACCCACCACACGGGTCCGAACCGAGAGCAACGTCGTTGGCAGCCCAAACCCAAACCCAATCTCAGATCGAAGCCCAAGCCCAGATTTAAGCCTACATCCCGAACATTCCGAACCCGAGCTGCTATCATCCGTCGACGTCGCAAGCCTTTATGCGCGGGTTGCTAAACACAACGACGCGCTCGCTGCGCTGAAAGATGAGGTGCGCAGAGAGCCTTGTGTAAACTCGGAGAAGGAGTGCCGAGGCGCTGCGGGTGATGTTGAGCAGCTTCTCGCGAGTTTGGCGCAGCGCGCTGCCGAGAAGACGGGGCTGGAGAGGTGGTTCCCGTGTACAGGGCGGAAGAAGAGGGATTTGCTTAGGAGGCATGTCTGTGTTGTGCAGGAGACGTGCGGGACTGTTGGTATGACGCATCTGAGGGCCGCTGATGCGTTTGCTGGGCTTTGTGGGAGGGCGGATGGTCTGGGTGAGGATGGGGAGAGGTTGAGTCAGGTTGTTGCTGAGGCGAGAGATGGGTTTGAATGGGAGAGGGTGAGGTGGAAGGTGCTTGGGTGGCGGGAGGGGATTCTGAGGGATCAGTTGGAGGGGGTTGAGGCGCGGATGTCTGCTGTGAGCGGCGACAGCAGCAGTAGCGGGCTGGTTCCTGATGGACACGGGGGCGGTATTGTTGATAATGCGGCTACGACTACGACAACTGAGCGAGAGGCCACGGTCGTCGAGATGCGATTTGAGACGGAGCAGCTGGCGACGCTGCCGTCGGAAACGGAAGACTACGCACATAACCCCATGGAAGACGACCTTGGTAATCTTGTTGAGCAGCTCCAGCACATTGAAGACGACCGCGACGCGAGGAGCCCCGGAAACGAGAGGGACGAGGTCCGCTTGGAGATCATGGCAGCTTCACTCGAGTCGTTGTTCCTGGTGAAGCACGGAGATCTCTGCGCCGATTTGCAGAGACGGGTTGCAGCGCTGCGAGAGGGTGGAAATAGGTGTCTCGACGTCGCTGAGAGGTTGGAGAAGCTTCGAGATTCGGATTATGGCGATTTGGTGGCTGGGCTGGGTGAGCTTGCGAAGAAGCCGGACGGGGAGAGCAGGCGCAAGGGTGTTAAGAAGGTTAAGGCGACTGGGCGTTTGGGTGCTTCTTATCGCGGGGTGACGACGGCTGAGTACCTTATGATGAGATGAGCCCGGCAATGTAGAAGTTGGCATCGTAATGCTGCGCGTGTAGAAATAACATCATCATTCATAAAAAGTAGGTATTTCGCTGCTGGTGGGTATCATGATCTCTGCTCGTTCTTCGTCTCGCCATCGCTGCCCTCCTCGGTATCGCCCTGCTTGTTTTCCTCGGGTTCTTTCGCCATTACGTTTTCGAACTGCGACCACAGCGCCTCGACGGAGGAGAACTCGTTTCCGACCTGTGATGCGGTGTCGACCCGCCCCGAATTAGTGCTCGAATCTATTGACGGCCGGCGTATTCGTAAAGGAGAGAGAGGAAGGCTGCTTACCGTAATGACTGCCTCAAGCGAACGATTCAGCTTATTAATGTTGGCAAGGACTTGCTCAAAGTTCTGGATTTCCCCGTCAGCATTCTCCTGTTGTTTGTTTTTGTTGATGCTCGTCGCTTCGGCGAACGAGAGGCCGACCGTGGGGCTTTACCATTGCGATTTCGCCAATGAGTTCTTCGCGCTGCTGCTCAAAGTAGGTCTTTTCCCTCGTACCCGATTGGGATTGCGAGTGGGAAAAGGTCCGCTGATGTGACGACATGTTGTTTGTTGGTGGCTCTTTGTCTTTGGAGGTTTAAGGAAGAGGTCGCGCGTCGCGTTGAGAGGAATTGGAGTTTTGGCGGCGATGGCGGGGTTTGGATGGAAGGTCACTGCGGTGGGGTTGTCTTTACAGTTTCTTGTGTGGGCATGACACTGTACGCAACACTGTGGGTGTCTCCAAGTATTGTTGATCCACGTAGCGTACATTTCTCACTCTTCACGTATTGCCATGTTATAAAGGTAGTGAAATTTAGATCAAAAGATGATTATATGTATGGACGATGCCCTAGACCACAGGGAAAGAGAAAGCCTGTATCCATGCCAAAATGTTCCAGCAAATGACCGTGAGGAAGGGTATCAAAAAAGGGTATCATAAACGAAAGCCAGAAGAGAGTCCATATCCCATCATCCGCCATAACCAACCTGTCTGCTGTATCCTTCAATCAGACGCTCTCTCTGGGCTTCACTGGCGAAGCCCCCATGACGCTAATGGCATCATCATCAATAGGCTTCGCCTGGAACGTCGACGCACTCTTGTCCACAGCAATACCCGTCTGCCCCTCGGCTCCCGATACCTCCCTTCCGTCACGCAGCTCCCAGCTCCCCTGGCGCTCGTGTCGCACTCCGCGCCCAGAGACAGCAAGGTCCGGGTCGCTAGCCATCTTCTCCGCGGCCTTGAAGCCTCCGAGCCCGGCAATCCGGCCATTGCCGTCCTTTCCTCCTGCTCCGCCTCCGGCACGATGAATCCGGAAACCGCCGAGAACAGCCGCCGAGACAACAACCAGCCCCAACACAGCGAGGACGATGATGGCGCCAATGATACCCGCGACAACGGGCTTCTGCACGGCCGAGCGAATGGCCTCGCCGACGGTCGGCGTCGTCTTCGTGGTCTGCCAGTCGCAGAACGACTGGATCGAGCCGCAGATGCTGCACCACGTCGCCGTGTCGATGCCGAACTTGGCCATCTCCTGCTTGAAGTAGCTGTACGTCACGCGGGTGTCGCCCTCGGCGAGGCCGAAGAGGGGATACTCCAAGAAGGGGGTGCCCGGC